CACCGTCATCTGTCTTAATAGTCACACATACTAGAAATCTCACTGCGGCTACCAAGCACCCATCTGCTCTCTCAAAGTTTGGACTCTCTGGGTCTTACTGAAAACAAGCCCTGGGAAGCCTCACTTATGAATAAGAACTCCATGCTGAGCACCAGGAGGCTGCTGGTATGGTACAGATCACAGATGAATCACCACCAAGTTTTCTAACTCATTCTGTTGCCTCCCCCACCTACCCCCATGAATCACCTTATCATGAAACTTAAGGCTTTTGGCACCAGAGATTGGCAGTGCAAAGAGGTGGAAGGGGCGGGGATTCTATTTGCTAAGACATCACTAGGAAGACATAAGCAAAGCTGACATCGGAACTGGACATTCAGCTGCTAGAGAAAATAACCAGGACAAGTTTCATTCCTAGAATGTGAAGCCATGTAGCCAGCTACTACGTGTTCAATGACCTCTCTTTATTCTCCATAAATTGTGGGCTGCAAATGCAACCTGGAAGTCTTGGGTCCTGGGAGGGCTGATCTGAAGAAGTTCTGCAAACCCAGGAGCAAAGAGCGTTAGGACCATAGCCTGGCTGAGCCTCCAAGGCCATCTTAGACTTCCACCCCACAGGCATCCTGAACCCCTTCAGAACCCACACACTCTTAAGTCCTGAGCCTCCTCAGCACTGGGAGTGAACTTTAAAATCCTCACATCTATCCCCTGCTTGTGCTATTTGGGAGGATTAGCTCGCTGGCACCCTGGGGTGGGGGAGGAAAAACCGACCTTTGAAAGTGTCTGTTATGCAACTTTGATTCTGTGTCCCTTGTCAGCAGGTATGGGCTTGAGGTGTCTTTTAAAGGGACTGGGGTGTCATCCTGCCTATCACTTCCCACGGCACCCCAGGGGCATATGGAACCTGATGGAGTTATTTTAGCTCTCCCCGAAGAACGGCTAACACCAACCTTTTTCAGGTCACACCTGGCTTAGTTCTGACCCTCTTTGGGGACACATGTATTCGATTTTATGTGCTTAAAAGAAATCTGATGTCCTTTTTCTTTCTTTTTTTTTTTTTAAAAAAAAGTACAATTCAAGAGTTCTATCAATAGCTGAATCACTCCATATGGTCTCCACGTCAAATCTTCCATAAGCTTTTTTTAGTACAGTGGCATTATTTAAAAATTTGGGAGGAAGGACGCACTTTGGTTAGCAGACACTCTGCGGCAGCAGAGGACAGAAGTGTCGGTGTGGGGTGGCTTAAACCCTTGCAGGGCGCTCAGTATCACGCCCGGCTGCGCCATTTTGATACCTCTGTAAGTTCTGAAGGGTCATCAGCTCTTAGAGCGCAGCTTCCTCAACTAACACACAAGGTGAACAATAACCACTCCGTAAGGGACAAGATGCTTCGGGTCAGGTGGCTGCTTTCTCTCGCTCTAGGTGAAAGTGACTTCACAGGAGGCCTTGACCCTCCCTCTCCCCTGCCCCAGGCAACATGCTACCTACCTACCAGACACAGGAGGACTGACTGCGTGAAGAAGCTGGCGGAGGTCCCCAGCTACTGTTCCCTGCCACTTTGAACCTTCCACTGAGTTCAGGGCTCTAATTAAGTACTTTCCAGTTTCAAAACAAACGCAAGCAGTAATTACAATCATCCCTCCTTACCTTCCAGGAATAGCCTGAGAACGAGGCAAAATCCCTAAGTCCCTTGACTTTGAAGCTCTGCAGCTAGGACGTCATGTTCTTCCTACCCCACTGACCCAAATTATATAACTCTTCTTGTGTCTCCTGCCACATGGATCCCAGAGGGGGGTCATGGCTCATTCCAATGTTCTCGGATGTGTTCAAGCGAAGCCCCTGAGGGAAACAGGCACGTGTCTTTCAGGATGGGAGTTCCTTCGTGTACTGGGGCACTGAGGCTTGACCTAAGCCAACAAAACACGTCTTTCAAAGTGACTGGGTCTTCATTGTATCTATGGATGTCTAATTGAATGTGTTACATAATCTGGGTGTACACAGCATTCTGGATCTATTAATAACCAGCTGTGGGCAAACTCTAAGGATTCTTCGAGTTCAGAGTTGAAAGATACCGGTTGTTACTAACCATACACATTTATATGCAAACATAAAGCCCCGTCATACAGAGTGGAGCCCAGACCTAGAGAGTGGGAGTAAACTGTCCCAACGCACGAAGTCATGTTAACAAGCAGGAGAGCTAGTTTCCCAGCCACTTCCTTTTCTCGAACACCTTCTATGCTCTGTCCATGCAACTATCCTTAGTGACAATCACTGTGTAGAATGGAACACCTCAGAGACCCCACCGTGCTGAACATGTCCCACCATCAAAGCCAACAGCCTCACTCCCAATCCAACAGGGTAAGCCCACAGAGGAATCACCTTTTCCTTGTTATTTATTTATGCACCCTTCATAGCCTTCGCCCTCCCACAGAAATCTAGGCACCTCAGATGCATCTTAGCCAGAGGCCAGCCTAGGTACTGTGTGGAAGAATTCAGGTTTTGAGACCTTCTAGAGAGAGAGTGGGTTTCACCAAGCAAAACTGAAAAGGAGGAAATCTATTCTGCATCGTTCATTTTCAGGGCGTTGTGCATGTGTGTGCAGGGGAAAGCCCCAAAGATGTGAGAAAACTGATGGATTAAAAATTAAATATCAGAATGGGGATCAATGGTGTATCGTGTAACCCAGTTTCGGGTGCTAGCAGTATGATATATGATCCAAAAATCGTTATTTCATAATTACGTTGTCATCTTCAGGAGCAACTTAATGAAGATAGTTTCTCTGTATTCATTTTTTATTCAAAACTGTACCCATTAATCACGAGGACCTAAAACACACAATTCTGGGAGATTAATACCACCACCAAGAAGCATTGTTTTCTCTTCAACAACCCCACGAGCATGCCAAAAAGAAAGGAAGCTTCTTTTCTGGCTTCGTGAGTTTCAAATGGCCACCAAACCCTGCTGGGCACAGAGTTTCCGGGAAAAGGTGACATGTGTCCGTTTGACTTGGGATTCGGTACTGCTTTAAAAGGCTCATTAATCTACAACTTTAAAAGAATGGCGACAACCCATTAACAGCCCATAGGTCAACTTGAGGCATTCAGCTCTAATAAGAGGCCCCAAATAAAATAAAATTTAGTGAGGGTCTGAACACCCTCGCTGGCCACCTTTCTCCTCACAGCCTCTATGAGTGCACTCGGTGGACTCTGCCTGGCACTAACATAATCGGCAGAGAGAAGAGGCAGGAGACCAAACCATTCCCGACTGGTTACTCGCTGATGGCTCAGGCTTGGATTCACTTACAAAATGTAGCTGATTTTTTTTCAGAGGGCAGCAAGGCTTGTTAGCCATGCTGCTTCCCAGCCCGCTGTGTGTCAAGGTGATACATTGAATTTGATCAGTTCAAGCGGCCAAAGCCATCTCTCCAATTGAAATGCCTAACCTATTCCATAACCCCAGTCTGGCAACTTGGAACGTTTTATAGCCACTATGTTTTGGCCCAATAAATAATCCACTGAAGCAGGGGCATCACCTCCTTTGGCTGAACCTGACTGGCATTGCTCTTTGAGCACCAAATCCTCTTCTTGGAAATCAACAATCTATTCAGTCCCTATGTCTGTGACATATGGGCCTCCCAAAGCCTAGTTTAGGCTTGTGACCCGCTAGTTCTCGGACCCAGAGTCCTGAACCTTGGAGGGATCTGAGACATCATTCAACCCAGCCCAGATCCTTCTGTTAACACAGACACTGAGGTCCCTGGGGCAAAGGGTCTTCCCCTGCGCAACACCATCACTTTCCACATGGAGGTGAAAGGTGACTTAAATACTCAACACCTAAACAGATGTTCAGACAAAGACCAAACGATTTCCCATGGCCTCCGTGGTTAGGATTACCTACATGCACTTAGGGAAAGAGTCACAGGCTGCATGTCAGGGAGGCTGGGCGAGCAGAGAGCCTCATGTCTGTGTCAAGGCCTGTCCCATCTCCCTCTGGGCCCAGAAGTGTAAAGTTCTGCTGACACACAGAGCCACGGCAACTATGAGTCAGGACCCAGGTGGCCTCTGCCTTCTGGCCATACGGAATCAGCCCCCAGCTCCTGCGAATTCGCTATCTCTAATACTTGCACAACCAACCCAGGTGCTGCTGCTGCTGGGGCTTGCCGAGGAGAAAAGTCTAAGGATGCCCAGTGAGGCTGAACTTGCTTGCGCACCCAGCACAGAAAAACACGCATAGGAATAACTGAAACCCCTCTCCATCCTTCAAGAGCCCTGGAAAACAGCCAGGGAAGAAAGCACAAGGAAATGTATTGATTCCCCCCCACACCCCCCGGAGACACACACACAACATACCCCCAACTGAACTAAGAGGACGCTTCACAGTTACCACACGTCATGATTGGCAGCATTAGATGAAGGGGTGAATGGAAAATGCATTCTACTAGCAATTTATCCCGTCTCAGCCGTCATTGGAAGGCGTCTTTTCACACACATGCAGAGGCTCTTGAGGCGGGAGCAGCTAGTGGAGGGAATGAGACAGGCGTGTTTGTGACAAAAGGATCAGTGTGATGAGGTGGTGAGCACCTTGCTTTCCACCTCGTGACCTTGATTAGCATATCCAATCACTCTGGGCCTCAGTTTCCTGATCTGAAATACTGAGAATGAGAACCTGTTTTCCTTGGAGCGGTTTGAAGATACACCATCCAGCAATGCCTGGACACCTACCAAACATCAGGGTCCCCCAAGTGACTAAGTCCGAATCTAGGTTTCACACATAGATGCTTATCTAGACCAAACAGGTCTCTTGCTTGCCTGCGTGTCAAGCCCGCTGCTGTCTCCCAGATAGCCCAGGAAAACATCGGGTCTTGAAGGCACCTTGGCAGTTCAGACTCAAGTAGGGTTTGGGGACAAATTCCAGGCACTGGGTGGTGAATGGAGAGGGGGCTTGGAGGCTGCTTCCGAGCCCTGCGAAGGGGCTTTGTTCCCGAGGCTAAGGGCCTGGCTTACCGAGAAGAGCATCCGGAGGCAGGTGGGGGGCGCGCAGGGCACGCAGCAGAGCCACAGCCTGGCCCGGGCCCGGGGCGCGGGAGCCAGAGGAAGGCGAGAAGGAGGAGAGAGAGGTGGCCGCGGGTTCCTTCCTCATTCTCCCAGGCAGCAAGGACCCATTGGCCGCTGCCGGCTGAGGCTGGCCACCAGGCACCAGAGCTGGATCGAACTGCTCATGTCCCCGTCAGCGGCTGGCGAGGTGTGCGCGTGGCTGGGTTGTCTGCAGGCGATACTTGGGGGCTCCTCATGCCCCGCGCCTGGGCTCGGAGGAAGATCTCTGAGGACAGCAGCGCCCGGGAAAGGAGAGAAAGAAAGCGTGAGAGCGCACAGAGCTGCGCCCTGCTGGGCCAGGGGCGGGCAGCACCGCGCGCCCCACCCACCGCGCTCTGCGCCCCGCGCCGTGCACCCGCTGGCCAGTCGAGCCCCAGAAACTTTAGCACATGGCCGGTCTGCCGGCCGCGGTGGCCCGAGACGCCCCGATAGTGGCGTAGTCCCACCCGGCCCCAGATCGCAGCTTACTGGCCACCACCGCAACCGCAGCCGAGGGTCGCCCACCTGGCCGCACTGAGAGTGGTGCACACCAGCTAGGAAGTCGGAGGGGGCGGCGACGTCGGGGTCCCCGCAGGAGAGGGGTAGCTCAACAACAGTGATCAGCACCCTTAAGGCATCCAGGGAGGGGACCGCTAGCCAGCCCGGGGGGGGTCTGCAGACCCCGACAGGGGAGGTTCAGTGAGTCCCCCACCCCGCTGATGCTGACGACGCGCGCGGGCTTCCCTGGCCCGGGTCTGCGGAGCCAGCCCTGTTACCTAGCGACTCGCTCCGGGAAGCCCACGCTGACGCGCTAGGAGCTAGGCTGCGGCAGAGGGGAGGGGAAGAGTAGGGAGGGGAACGAAGAGGGAGAGGAGGGGAGCTTCGGTGGGGGAGGGGGCAGGGGAAGGCTGGTGTTGCCGGCCAGAGCTCCTCCCTCTACCTCTACGTCGCTGCTGGGGAGTGGGTCGGGGAAGACCTGGCCTCAGCCTGGTCCGGTGTATCAAGGACCTCCTGGGTGAGGGTGGATGGAGGGAAAATGATAATAATGCACGTTCCCAAGTGCTGGGTTTACAGCAGCAGGTGGCGGCGACGTGGCCCGTGGAGGCCTGACGCCTATAGGAATGCAGAGATGAGCCAGCGAATGTGGCTGGGGGCGCGTGGTGTGTGTGAGACGCCCCCACCCACGTGGAGTACTTGTGGACCTAGGGACTTGGGTAAGAGAGGTGCCTCCCCTTTCCTGGCCTCCTTCTCTCCTTTCTGGACATCTGCTCTTGCTCTGTCCTCATCATGGAAGCTCTGGTCGCTATCTCTTGGTTCTGAGCTCCTCCTACCTCTCGGAGAACCGGAGGATGTCTGCTAGGTTAGTAACCGCTCTGTCTCCAGCCCCATGACTCCCTGCCAACGCATCTGGTGTCTAGTTACAGGAACTCAAAAATCTGCCTCCAGGTGCCTTCCTCTTTGTAGATTCGCTGCCTCTCAGGCTAGAATGGGTGCGTCCCAGTTGTTTACAGTTTATAGGACGCGGCAAAGTAACTTAACATCCTCACTAAAATGGAGTCTTCGTACCAAAAGGCCACAGTTAAACAGGTCCTTGGGGTACATGAATGTGAGCACACATTTTCTGTAAGGTGTACAGTACATCTTCTGGTTCTCCAGAACCGATCCAAAATACACCCCCACGGCTCAAAAAGAGTCCTTGCAAAAGCAGGCTGGGACCACGGTCTCTGAGGTTCAGGGGACAAACAGCCAAATGCAGTGGGTACCTTCGAAGTAGAACCTAGACCCTGTGGTTAGCAGATTCTCAGATCTCACCACCACCACCACCACCACCTCCACCACCAGGGCATATCTGAAAGGCACGCACACGTGGGGACATCCTTTCCCTTTCCACCAGCCCCACGACAGGCGCTCCTGCCACCTCTCCAGAGGAACAGTCCCAGCTCCATCCCTCACTCTTTCCAGACTGCTGTTCTCTTCCTGGCTGATGAGAAGACAGACCTTATAGAGAGTCACACCTTCTCAGGACCCACATGGTGTCCGGTATCTCCGGAGCATGGAGACACTCCCTCTTGGAAGACTTTGAGAGTGTGGGATGGAGGAGGGATCTCTGAGGCTTTCCTTGGTAGTGATGGTCTGCAAATTTGGCCTTTTCTCCATTTATTTATTCATCTATATTGTCGAACCCCCTGCTAGGTCTTCCAAGCAGAAGCCAGGCAGAAGCCAGGCAGGGACCTCAGACGGCATTGTTATTTTTTTCCCTAGAGAAAGCTGCTGTCATTCCTAAGCTGGTGCTGAAGGTCCCAAAGGTTTCTGGAGGGTTGACCTTTAGTCCATACTGGGAGCCAAAGCTGGGTCCTAATATCAGTGAAGGATGTGGCAGAGCCAGCAATAAAGTAGATGAACTTGCCAACAAGAGAGAAGGCAAGTCAGGCAAGTGGTTAAAAAGCAAAAAACAACAAAACAAACAAGCTCAGAACAATAAAAGCAGAATGGGCCACTAATGTTTAGAATAGATCTTTCCACTTCAAATAATCAGATTGGGAAAATTCCTCGCAGGACGACCCAGAGGCCTACCTTTTAGTTGAGTCCAGATTCAATCAACCACCACACATAGCTAGTCACACACTGTGTAGCATCTAGAGATGCTGATCTCATAGGAATAGAGAATGCAGGAGCGCATAGCAGACAGGAGCAGGAGAGGACAGGCTGAGGAAAGTCTCCAGGTTCAAAGCTACAGTCAGGAGGAATCATTGCCAGGGTTCTGCCACACAGCTGAGTGGTTACGCATAACAATATCACGATGCATATCTCAAAATATGAGGAAAAGAATGTGAACTGATCCTTCCTTCTCTCCTTCCTTCCTTTCTTTTTTCTTTCATTTGACAGGGTCTTTCTATATATTCCAGACTGGCCTAAAACTCTCAAACCTCCCATCTCAGTCTGCTGAGCATGTGTGCCTTGAGAAAGAATTTCAAACATGTTTTAACACACACACACACACACACACAAATGTTTGATGTAGTGGATATTCTTATTAGATGCCGATGTCACGCATGCAAGCATCAAAAATCACCCTAGGTACTATATGTGTGTGTAATGATCATAAATAATTAAAACAAACATGCAAGATTATAATATCCACCTGTTAACGACTTTCTCCAGTGCTCATAAATCTTGAAGCTTTCGTGTCCCTGTTGCACTGGCTTCTGTCACACATGTAAGAGGATGAATCAGTATGTGAGTCTCAGACAGCCAGTCCCAGGGCAGAGTCCAAACTTGATTCCGTGCTTCTTCCCAGGTAGTGCGGGACCGCCCTTTCCAAATGATCTTCCTGTGTCTTCCTTGCTGTCCCCACAACTTCAGCTTCTGTGGGATAAAGGCTACAGGGAGATGAACAGAGCATGTGCTAGCCAGAAATGTAGGGTGACCAGCAGGGCCCGTCCACACAGCTGCAGCACCTTGACTCATAGAACGTGGACCAGTGTGGGAAGTGATGAGACTTGACCAGGAGGAGGAGAGGAAGCAGAAAGACACCAGCGTTTCATAGGAAAGGAAGTGGTGGGTTCTATGTCCTTCCTTTGCAGTTAAGCAATTAACCGCTAGACTTCATTGCAGAGGTAAGAAAGACCTGGAACGGATACTGGGACCAGCCAAGGCAGTAGGTGAAAGGAAAGATGCTCAGAAAGAGGTGCCACCAACTTCCAGGGACTGTCTTGCCAGATCTACGTGACCCCTGCAGGTCAATCCAGAACACCAAAGACATAGTTGCATTTCTTCAGAACAAGGAAGAGCACTTTCATACTAGATCAGTGATGGGCAAATTATATTTTACGGACAAAATCCAGCTCGGCAAGCAACCTTTGTTAACCATTATATGGGTTCACAGCTGCCTGTTTGCTTATGTGATAAAGCAGGGTACGGAGACTTATTACTACCTAGCCCCAGGTAAGAGAAGCCCAACACCAGATGGGCTGTCTTGGTAGGTAGTGAGTTTCCTGTCACCTGCGATTTTGCGAACAAAGACAGATCTAATATATTGTGACATATTGAGAAGGCACCAAGAGAACAGCCATAGAGACTGCGAGAGTCCAGCTTCATTTCAGGTGTTCAGGTGTTCTTGCTCTCTGGTCATCATGAGAGCTAAAACTAAAGGTAAGTAGCCCCGCTACAGAGCACCCTCAGGAGGGCCTATTGCTTCCCAAACCAGTATCTGATGTCTAACGGCAAGTGCACTGGCTCTTGCTTCCTGCTTTCTGGGCCATCGTTATACCCAGGTGGCTCAGGTGATGGTCCATGTGAAACTCTAAAACATGACACTTAAATAGCTTAGGGTTCTGACGTGAGACACGACTGCTCCTGGCATCACCCATCTATTCCCGAGAGAACGTTAAGCACCAAAGACACTCTACCTGGAGCTTGTTTTCTTCTATGCAAAACTAGCCAGTGGGCAAGGAACTGACCATGCCTTGATCACTGACAAAATGCACGGTGCCCAGACTGGACAAGCAGGATACGAGAAAAAAGACTGCCAAGCTTTGCTAAGACAGGGAAAGACAGTTTTGAAATTTTTTCCTGCCTCTGAAAATGGTCTGTCAGTTACTTTAGGCCTTAGCCAAAGTTGGTTGCTTGAACATTGCAAATGAGACTTTGGGTGATTGCCCGGGTAGTCAGTTGTCTCTGTCATCTACTGTACATTTTGGAAGCTGCTTGATTGCACTTCCTGCTTACTCAAGTAATATCATCTCCCTTCTCGGGCCTTCGATGGGGTTGAAGATTAGATTGTCGTAGTTACCTTCTTCTTATGATTTAGCCAAGCCATTTCTAATACAAGACTTAGACTCTTTAAGGATAAAATGATTATTGAGACATTTAGCATATGTTCTTTGTTTAATATTGTTTATGCTGGTTGCAATTCTAATTTTTATACTTGATATCTGTTCTTATTGTATATAGTTTTGTATTGGGTTTGGAACTCTCTCATTTAGACAAAAGGGGGAAGTGATGGGGAACCTCCAGTAGCTAATGGCCTTTGAGAGGCTGGACCAGGTTGAGGCGTGGCTTTGGGTAGCAAAAGCCACAGCCTGTCCACTCACTCCCTCTCTTCCTACGCTCCACACCTGGATGTTGGACCCCCATTCCTGTTCCAGGAGTTTCCCTTTTAATAAAGAAAAACCTTAATATACTCTATTTGGAGCTAGTGTGGGATTATTTAATTCGCATTCCCCCCTCCTGATGTGTTCCACTTTACATGTGTTTACAAGGGGTTAGATTTTGTGTTGGGGAAGTCAGTTCATTGGGCTTCTGTTGGGATTTTCAGGACATCATTCAGCAAACTACCGGACTCTGCACTGGACAGAGCATTTGCCCTTGAAGGCTTGGCTCTCTGGACCCCGGACAGCTTGAACAGATTTCAATGGTGATTTGGAAATGTCAAAAACAAATGCAATACACAGCCAGGCTCATTGATTCAGGGAGGCTGACTCCCAATGCTATTAATGGGATCTCTCGGAGGAGAACCCAAACTCCATGGTCATTTTGCTCCCCGCTTAGCTAGATTGAATACGAGATAGGTCAAGTCTCTCCGTCTCAGACAGGCCGGAAAACAGTGTGGTGTGATGGTGGCAAGGGCAAATGTCTCCTCCCATAATCTATGGTGGGTGCAGAGACTTCCCAACCAGCAATGGAGAATGTCCCTCCATGAAGAACATTGGCACAGGCTGAATTGATTAGATTTGCTCATGCTGTCTCTGTGTGCACAGACCTGCCTTCCGGTCCCTAA